GCCAAAGGTAGAGGCTTTAACCCACTGAGCCACCAGGCACCCCGAGTTAAGGATTTTTTTGATAAGATTAGCCTGGATTATCTGAATGGACCAAGGCAACCACCAGGATCAGAGTGATCAGGAGTCACAAGCCAAAGAATGTGGGCAGCTTCTAGAAGCTGCAAAAGTCAAGGATATTCTCTCCTTGAGCCCCCAGGAGGAACACAGCCCTGCCCGCCCCATTCTGGTCCTCATCTTGGAACCTATCCTGATGATCTACAATTGCTCCTTATACTTAATCTCCCTTCTCTACCCAAAAGCCCTGAGTTCCTTCTAGAAACCGTCTTTAGTATCTTTGCCTCCCAGTGCCTAGCACATTCCCTGGCATTGGTAAGAATGGCAAGAGACTGGTATTCTGGAATTGGGGGGACAAAGAATTTTAAGAAGGTAGGAGGAGCTGACGTTGTCAAGTGCTAGAGAAAATCGAGGTAAGATCGTAATTTGAAAAGAGATCATTGGGTTTAAGAGGTCCCTGGTGGCCTTGCGGGGAGATAGTTACATGCAGGGTCTAGGATAGAAGGTAGGACATGAGTGTAGACACCTCAGCATGCCATAGGGACGCCTAGGTGGCTTAGTCATTAAGCATCTGCGTTCTGCTCAGATCATGATCCCAGGGTCGAGTCCCACATGGGGCTCCCTGCTCTGTGGGGAGTCTGCTTCTCCCTCTCACTCTGCCCCTCCCCCTAATCACATGCTTACATGCATGCACACACACTCTCTCTCAAATAAATAAATAAAACCTTTAAAAACAAACAAGAAAACAAGATTGATTGCTATGTGCTGGCCCTCTTCTTGGAGCTCTACGTATATTAATTCATTCAGTCCTCGTAACAACCTATGAAGTAGGTACCATTATTATTTTCATTTTATAGATGAGGAAATCAAGGCACAGAGAGTGTAAGTAACTTGCCCAAGGTCACAAAGGCAGAAAGTAGAGGACTCGGATTTGAACTCAGGCCCTCTGTCCCTAAGTCTGCATTCACAGATGGAGGCACTCAGTAAGTAGTTGTCAAGGGAAGGAGGAATGGCGCTAGCTTCTCCCGCTCCCCCACATAGCAGGATGGGTTTGCTCTCCTGCATCTCTCTTCTCCCTTCCCCACAAAGGGCCCCCTCAGCATTGTCCTCTCACAGATGAGGCTTCTGTGAAAGGTCTAGCTGTCTACTGAACCAGGGCTGAGGCCACAAAGATGTCCGAGATCTTATCCTTTAACCTCCGCCCTGGAAGCAGGACCCCAAACACTCGGTTCCTTTAGCATGACACCTTTCCAGACACCCCCTTCTTCCCTCCTCCTACATCTTGGCTGAGGCCAGAATGAGGATTCACCAGGCTGGCCCTTGCTTCCCAGCAGGTTGCTGGAATATTCCTTCCACGTTGCCCCCTGCGGGCTTGGCTTCACCGCCCTAGAATTGTCTGACAGCAGGGCTTAGAGCCAGGGTGAGGGTCTAAACACTACTGTAGGTAGGTTTCTGTTGGGGGAGGCAGAAATTCAGATGTAGAACTGGGAGGGTGAGAGAACCTAGGAAGGCAAGATGGGGACTGGACAGGTCAGGCAGGAAAGTGACATGGAATCACTCATTGTGGGTAAGCTTGCAGCCAGCGTTGTCCTGGCAGGTGAATTCTGGAAAAGAACAAGTCCCCTAAGACAAACGTTAGGCTGCATCTTGATCTTTGGGAGGGGTGGTCCCCTCTGTTTTCTCCTAGGCCCCTGTTGAGGCTTATTCTTATAACTACACATTTTTCCAGATCAATTCTCCCAAGAGCTTAGGTTCTAGATCCCTGCCCGGATAAGAGAGATTGGCTCTGTTTCTTCATGCTATGAAATTTTCAAGGGATTCAAATCCTAATAAAAATGGAAATAACTGAAAGGCCAATAGAACACGTTTTCTTGCACACCATAAATATGTGTTCTCCCAACTTCTTGAATGTCTTTTCTCTCATTCCACCATTCTTGCCTTAAAAAGGTTAACAGTGAGTCTTACCTTTGAGAAACTACTGGTTTATGGGCACTGCGCTCAGTATGGGGACCCTAAGAACAGGTCAAAATCCCAATCAATGAAAGAATTGCTGTAATACCAAGTGCTAGGTGGAGATCTCGGATTTTTTTTTTTCTTTCAGAGGGGAGTCCATGAACATTCTGAAATGATGTGCAAAATTGTGGCTACTTGTGCATTTCTGGGAAGAAGAGTATTTCTAGCTTTCACCAGCCCCTCCAGAGGGGTCTCTGACCACCAAACTGAATAACATGGTGGCAAGTGCTATGGGAGAGCAGAATTTGAACGTAGAGGAGAGAACATTGAAATACAGGGAATACGTTGTTATTCCATTAATTCATTAATGCTATAGTGATTTCAGTAATCACCATTCACTTTCACCAGTGGACTTTTACAATCTGCAGTAAAAACCGTGGGGTTTTTTGGTCAAGAAATAAAGGGTCATGAGAAATTTAACATGGTGTTGGCACTCCTGTGTTTGGTTTCAGAAACAGTGACTTGATTATTTCTAAATGAAGGACACTTTAAAAAAAAAAAAGATTTTATTTATTTATTTGACAGAGAGAGAGAGAGGTCACAAGTAGGCAGGGAGGCAGGCAGAGAGATGGGGGAAGCAGGCTCCCCTCTGAGCAGAGAGCCCAATGCGGGGTTCCATCCCAGGACCCTGAAATAATGACCTGAGCCAAAGGCAGAGGCTTAAGCCACTGAGCCACCCAGGCACCCCATGAAGGGCACTTTTTTTTTTAAGTTTTTTCTTTTCAAAGATTTTATTTATTTATTTGACAGAGAGACACACAGCGAGAGAGGGAACACAGCAGGGGGAGTGGGAGAGGGAGTAGCAGGCTTCCGCAGAGCAGGGAGCCCCATGTGGGGCTCAAACCCAGGACCGTGGGGTCAGGACCTGAGCCAAAGGCAGAGGCTTAATGACTGAGCCACCCAGGCGCCCTATGAAGGACACTTTAAATAGAGTCGGTCCCAGTTAAGAAGCCCCCTCCAGAGAGGTCCCCAGGGTCTCCCAAGTGACACTCCTCTCCCCGCCGAGCTGGAGGCTCCCTCTGAGACCGCCCCACGACAACCTCCCCTGCCCTGTGTGTGGCTCTGTGATTGGGCTCAGGAAGGCTCAGGGAACCATCTCGAGGTGGCAGATTGGTGGCAGGATGAAGGATTCTGACTCAGTGTACACACTAATGAAAGAGGACATCCATCTGATGAAGACGGACAAAAAGACAATCCCCAGTGTGGTCGGTCACGGGGGTGTTGCCACTGAAATGCAATTAACAGTAAGGTAGTTTCCGAAATTCTGGCCCTGAACCTCCCAAAATGTGGCCACTTTCCATAAGATACCACCATGTTGTGGTATTTTCCCAGCAAATCCGGTTTCTTTCAAGCACAAATGTGATTAATTTGGTGCTGTGAAATGAAGATGTCATTATTTGCACCCAGAGAGCATCTAAGGCTACAAAATTAGTAAGTTTTCCCTTTGTCTTTCTCATGCATGAAAGATAACACTGGGGGGGAAAGGATTTATTTTCTTTTATTGCATGTTCTGTCCTTCTCCCTCCCTGTCTCACCTGATTAAAATGCGTCTAGTTTTGCATCTCATTTCAAAAACCCGCAAATCCTGAGACTACTCCTTCTCCTAAATCCTGAGACCCTGATAGCGAACCCCTCTTGATTATTATTCTTTTTAAAAATATTTTATTTATTTGACAGGCAGAGATCACAAGTAGGCAGAGAGGCAGGCAGAGAGAGGGGGAAGCAGGCTCCCCGCTGAGCAGAGAGCCCTATGCAGGGCTCGATTCCAGGACCCTGGGATCAGGGGCTTTATTTAACCCACTGAGCCACCCAAGCGTCCTTCGAGTCTCTCTTAAGAAAAGCTGCTCTGGGGATGCCTGGCTGGCTCAGTCAGTAGAGCATGTGACTCTTGATTTCAGGGTTCTGATTATGAGCCCCATGTTGGGTGTGGAGATTACTTAAGGAAGAAAAAAAAAAACGTGCTCATGCATTCTTATCAGGTAGCCTGTCCCGGCAATTTCCATCACCTCCAGCCTCCTGTCCTGCAGGGATTCTGCAGTGTAGAAAGAGTCTTGATGACCTGGGTTTGGGCACATCTCTTCCCATTTTTTTGCATCACAGGTAACTAACTGGCTCTCTTCTGTCCTCTGCTCATGGTCATATTGTAATGAATGGTGGTCGTTAGAAGCCAGGTTGTCCTGCGTATTTGACAGAGACAGGAGAGGAAGGGACGGAGGTGGAAGGGTTAGGTGGAGAAGGCACCTGTGTGTGGATGCACGTCTCAGGCTTCCTGTCTCTCTCCTATTCTCAGAGTTGGTTCAATTAAAACTGGCCCCAGAGGGGCACCTGGATGGCTCAGTGGGTTAAAGCCTCTGCCTTTGGCTCAGGTCATGATCTCAGGGTCCTGGGATACAGCCCTGCATCGGGCTCTCTGCTCAGCGGGGAGCCCGCTTCCCCTCCCTCTCTCTCTGCTTCCCTCTCTGCCTGCTTGTGATCTCTGTCAAATAAATAAATAAAAAACATTTAAAAAAAAAAAAAACTGGCCCCAGAGTGACATCCTAAGTTAGCTAGAAGTCACTGTTGTCCAAGTGGGGGGAGCACGCTACTCATTCAGTCTTTGTTCCCAATGCTCAATCCATGGCCGACTTTACCCTTTGCCCCCCACAGGCACCATCTTCCTTAATTATCTCCTCCGGCCAGAGGTCACTGGGGGAAGTACCTACAGATTGAGCTCCTCCTACCCGACGGTGACTGTCCTTGCCCCGCACTCTGTGTTGGCGCTCTGCTGGGCATATGCTCAGGAGTGGATGTGGCCTTGGGGTCTCTAGGCAGGATGCAAAATGAAGAAGAAAGAATAATGGTGGAGGCAAAAGTTGTTTTTATTTGAACTTCCATCGGAGCACCCACATCTGGAACACAGGGACCACGTCTGCTTTTGGATGTTGTTCAGGTTTGGCGGTCCTCGGCTTGATTTTCTCTGCGCAGAGCCAATCCTCTGTCCTTTGCAGCATTCTGCTCTTCAAAGAGAGTGAACAGGAAATGTTTCCATTTTGATATTTGGCAGGCGGAGGCAGCACATGGGTGGTTGTACTGGGTGCACACTGAGACCTTTTCTGGCCCAGAGAGTCTGTGATTCATTTGAAGGGGAGGCGCACCCCTGATGGTTTGCTGGTGTTGATTTCCTCTGCCCAGTCTGGCTTCCAGGGGATCCTACAAAGGCTGAGACCCCACTCAGCTGCTACAGGAAGCCCTGCCTTGTGCAGTGACTGCCTACCTCTCTGAAATTCCTGGAATGTCCACGGTGCTTAAATGTCCCACCCAGCAAGCCCAGTTCGTATGGCTCATCACCCAGTGCCAGATAGTCTTGTCCTCACTCTTGAAATGTGGAAGGTGGATACCAGAGGCCCTCAGAAGTCCAGACAGTAGAGGCCCTTGTGTCTTCCATCACGTGAGCATGAAAAACGCCAAAACTTGTAAGCGGGAGTGGTATCATTAAAATATATATATTTAACGAATTAGTAGTTTTCACACCCATACACAAAAATCAATGCAATATAATTGTACAAGTTGCGGGGTAATTACAAGGTTTATTGAGGAAAAGCAAATCTTTACACTTAGAAAAGGAAGTATCAGAGTTTATGTCCTCTGAGCAAGAAAGATTTTCTTTCTTTCTTTTTTTTTTAAGATTTTATTTTTAAGCAATTGCTATACCCAGTGTGGGACTCGAACTCACAACTCAGAGACTGAGTCAGAGATAACTCAGAGACTGAGCCAGCCAGGCACCCCAAGAAGGATTCTTAAACAAGACAAAAAGCACATATCAGAAAGAAAAATATCAATAAGTTTGGCTATATTAATACTTGAAAATTTTCTGTATATTTTAAAAATATACTTAAACCAAGTTAAAGGACTAGGAGTAGAGACGTGTAATTTGTAATCAACAAAGGAACACTTTCCAGAATATGTAAAAAAATTCATAGAAATAAATAAGGAAAAAAAATCCAGTGGAAAAGAAATGGTAGAGATCTGAACGGGGAATTCACATAAGAGGACATCTGAGTTGCTAATTCATGAGAAGATGTTCAACTTCCCCAGGAATCAGCAGAATGTAAATTAAAACAAGATAGCATTTTATGGCCACTAGATTAGCAAAAATTAGCAAGACCACATGTGGTCAGGAATGCGGGGGAATTGGGGCTCTCTGATGCTGATGGCAGGAACAGAAGAAATTAGTAAAGCCATTTTAGAGAGAATTGGACGCTCTGTAGTAAAGCTGAAAGGTGCATGTACCTCCTGACTCAATTCCTCTAGCAGGTGGATGAATGCACAAAGAGACATATGTAAGAGCCAAAAATTGGAAATAATTTAAATTTCCATCAAAAAGAGGGGGTGCCCCTCCTCTCTGCCTGCCTCTCTGCCTACTTGTGATCTCTCTCTCTCTCTGTCAAATAAATAAATAAATAAAAATATTTAAAAAAAAAAAAAAAAGAGGGGGTGCCTGGTGGCCCAGTCAGTTGAGCATCAGACTCTTGGTTTCAACCCTACATACACTTACCATTTGCCTCCTAGAGATGTTCTCGGACATTGGTTTGCAAAGGCTGGTCTCACCTGGGAAGTTACTGGACATGCAAATTTGGGGCCCGCCCCCCACCCCCATCGGTGAACTCAGGTGCTTCTGGGGTGGGGCCCAGCAGTCTGCTTTGATGAGCCCCTGGGGGTGATTGCGGTGCTGGGGCAAACTTGGGGAACCATTGCTTTTCTATAATGAAGAGATTTCTGCCTGCTTTCAACGCACTATCTGAGGCAGGGAGGTATCCATCCAGAAATTTCCCAGAAGTGCTACAGCTCCCATGGAAAAGTGGGATATTGCCACATACCTGCATATGTTCTTCACAGTCCACAGACACTCTCTCCTCACCCCCTAGCCCCTGTCTGGTCAAAATACCTTTCTATCCTCTTTAGCTTGCCTTGTAAGACCCTCAGGAACCTGACCCCATCTGCCCTTGTCTCTCCCCTGAAAGCACCTTAGGCCCTGGAAAACAGCAGTACTTGCTCATAGAAGATCCTCGCGCTTTCCTGTCTCTGAGGCTTGCATTTTGTTGTATTGGTATTTCTTCAGTCTGGAAGGGTTTCCGTATATGACAACTCCATCCCCATCCCCCACCCCATCCCCACAGGCGTAGCTTATCATTTCAGATCAGTCTCAAATGCCATTTCCTCCTTCTCTAGCTAGAGGCAATTGCTTCTTCCTTTGTGTTCGCCTCATAGAGGGTTTTATCAGCCTCTGTAACCTGCCATTTATCTCCTACATCCCATCTGGTATTCTAGTTTATGTATATGTCTTACCAGGTCATAAAACCTTTTATTCGAACCTCTTAGTCAAGTTGAAGCTTCTAATAATGCTGAGCGTATTTTCAAATTCAAGTGATATAAATAAGTGTATTATTCAAAAATACCTAAGACATGCTCTAAGGTATGTCTATGTCTAAAATACTTAAGACATACCCTAAGACCTCCAATTTCTAGAGGTCTAGAGGGTGACGGGGACACCTATAAACAAGGTGACAGAGTTAAGGACATGGCGATGTGGTTGCTGGGAGGACAGAGTCAGCTTGGGAAGAGGTGCGGGGTGGAGGTGGGCGTAGTTTGGGCAGAAGGTGATACTGGATGCTGTAGATGAGGAGATGCTTAGACCAGGCACAGACTTCCTCTGCTTTTGGGGGGTTTGCGGGGCTGGGGGGCAGTCAGAAAGGTATATGGGGCAAAGAAGAGAAGTAAGTTCAGTTTCACAGAAGCCAGGGCCAAAGTATGGAGCTATAAACAGCACCAAAATTTAAGTACAGAGATGCCATAACAAAACGTCATCATTACTGCAAGACTTATTGTGGAAAGTATTCAAGGTGTATAACCCCGTTACTAAGATAGTGTCTGCGCTTTGCACAGTCCTGGAAACTGAAGGAACCTCTTAGAATTTAAGGCTTGGTTGCTGTTTGAACTTCTTCATTTGCATGATTTAGAATGGTGTTTTTCAATCTGGGGACTGCAGATATATTTAAAAGAGATCCCCCCCCCTCCTTTAGAAAGTCTATTATAAAGCACTTCTATTTAGAAAGTCTATTATAAAGCACTTTCCTACCTGTGGGCTTTGTGCAGTGTCTCAAGATGGCCAGAAGGGGGAAGCACAACCTAATGTTCTGTGTCAGGAGCCTCAGTTCCGTGCTTAGGTTCTTTTCTCTATATTATCCTGGAAAAGGTAGGAATTAACAAATAGCCAGACATCTTCAAACGTTCAATGAAGTGGGGGTTCTGTGCCTTGGCCCTGAAATCTTGAAAAGCTCAAAGCTTTTTACAAGCGCTTCTTTCTCGTTATTGCAAGTGGAAAGTGGCACGTAATTCACAGTAGACATAAAAAGTAAAGTTCTGGGAAGACTTGCGATGGACCTCTGGTGTGCAGATGTACCTGAACTAAAATAAACACCTGAACAAACTTGCACCTACAGGTGTGAAAAAATGGAAAAACATGGAGGAGAATAAATATACATCTAGAACAGGAAGTTATGAGAAAATGGTCATTCGCTCACGGATGTGTTTGGATTCCCTGGCTGCTACAGCCTCTTACAGATTCACCATGTGCTTTAGTGTAGGGGAAGCTCAGAGTAGCTCTGTCCCACAGAAATAGAATACGAGCCCCAGGTGCAGTTCTGCATTTTCTAGCAAGCCACATCAAAAAAGTTAAAAGGTAGGGCGCCTGGATGGCTCAGTCGTTTGAACGTCCAACTCTTGACTTAGGCTCAGGTCATGATCTTGGGGTTGTGGGATCAAGCCCCGTATGGGGCTCCATGCTCAGCATGGAGCCTGCTTGAGATTCTCCCTCTCCCTCCCTCTGCCCCTCGCCCAATACCCCCATCCCTGCACATGCATGCCAGGGCTCTCTTCAAAATAAATAAATCTTAAAAAAGTAAAAAGGAACGGATGAAATTAATTTTAACAGTATATCTTACTGAACCCAGTATACTCAAAATAGTATCATTTCAACATGTTACTAAATATTTTAAAAACTAGTGTCTTGGGGTGCCTGGGTGTCTGCATCGTTAAGCGTCAGCCTTTGGCTCAGGTCATGATCCTGGGGTCCTAGGATCGAGCCCTGGCTTGTGCTCCCTGCTCAGCAAGAAGCCTGCTTCTCCCTCTCCCACTCCCCCTGCTTGTGTTCCCTCTCTTGCTGTCTCTCTCTCTGTCAAATAAAGAAATAAAATATAAAACAACAACAACAACGAACAAAAGCCTCTTAGTCTTTGACATGGGGTGTGTGTTCTACATCTCAGCACATCTCACTTTGGATTAGTCACGTCTCGGTCTCAAGGGCTCAGGGGCCACACGTGGTCGGCGGCTACCGTATTGCACAACCCAGTCTCAGAGAACCCGTGCCTAGAGGGAATCTTAAGGAAAACCTGAAACATCATCAAGAAGGTAACAGGAAAATAAGGGAAAAGAATCAAAGGCACTTTTAGGTTAATTTGTTAATTTCAAGATCAACATCTTAGGAGAGAGCCCGTCCAGGAAAAGTGTTAAATGACAATGACTTACATTAAGATGAAAAACTTCCTTGTAACTGTGTTTCTGCTGGCAGGGATCAAGCGAGGTGCTTGCGGTCGAGGCCAGGAGGCAGTGGGGCCTCGTGTTTGCTGCTTTGGCTTCTCGCTTAATCTTATGTTTAGCTGCTTCTGAGTGTCTGCATGTTGAGGCTGTGAGGTATTGGGCGATTTTGTTTTGTTTTAATTGGCAAATCGTGTATAGTAACAGCAACTACTTCTCAAACTTTTTAGCAACACGTAAGTTTAGCTCCCTGTGTCATCCCAATTTTCTGGTTCCCATACTTTTCACTGTGTCTGTGTGCTGACATTCTCTTCACTCCTCCTCCCGACTCTCCCTTCCCTTTGTCTCATCCTCAGACCAGGTTCCCCCAGACTGAAAAGGTGACAAACCTGAAGTATTCGGTCTCCTTTTGACCTGCTCTGATACCTCCCCTGACCCGCGCCTCCGTAAAAATGTTGTATGATTCACCACATTAATGAGAGTGGTACTTTTTCTTTTTCCTTCCTTCCTTCCTTTCTTCTTTCTTTCTTAAGATTTGTTTGTTTATTTATTTGAGAGAGAGACAGAGAGCATGAGCAGGGGGGAAGGACAGAGGGAGAGGGAGAAGACGATGCCCCACCAAGCAAGGAGCCAGATGTGGGTCTC